TAGTGTTTTTTAAAAGTTTTCCCCACCAAGAATGTGAAACTAGGGGAGGAAAAAAAAAAAACTTTCTTTTTTTTTTTTTTTTTTTTTTTTTCAAATATTAGCAGACAGGTATTATACCTTTTTTGTGTCAGCTTTAGGAATAGCAGATATGGGGGTCAAAATATCTCCATATTTTGTCACTTGTTGTGGACAATGCTAATGGTTAAATATTAGTTCATCTACTCTGTCTGGTCCAGTACTTAACTGGTTTGAGACTTGCCTAATCACACCCAGAGTCCCCCAGGGTTCACTGCTGGGCCCCTGTTAGCCCTGCTATCTGGAACAAACTTCCATAAAACTTCAAAACAACTGAAACACTGAGCTCCTTCAAATCACATCAAACAAACTTAGAGTTGCCTTTGTAATGACTGGAACATTAATTTGAGTCTTTATTCAAATATTTTATAATGATTAATGTGCTGATGATATTCACACAAATGTAATATTTCTTGCTTGTTGCTGAAATATTCCGTACAAAGAAACTTTCCTTACCTCTTATCTCTGATTGTTCCCATCACCACTTCTTACCCCATTTCAAGGCATATGTTGTCATAGTAACCACTATCACATCCATTTAATATCCTAAAAAACAAAAGACGAAAAATGCTTCTGTCATTCATTTAATTGAATCCTCTTTATGAATTATGGGGGTCACTGGTCATATCAATGTTGAAATCTCGCATATAATTTAATTTATGATAATTAAAGGGGCAGTAAATGACATAATGCAAAATTGACTTTTTTGAGCATTACATCAAAAACATACCTGGAGTACCTTGATGCTTTTATTCGTCGGAATCTTTTTATCTCTCATGGCAACCATTCAGCAGTACAAAACGTTTCGGGTTGCACCGAGGCGCAGCTCCTGCTCAGAGCTCTAGTTTCTGAGTTTATGCCTCACAGAGCAGCCTTCCCCACTCAGCTCCTTCAGACTAGCCAGCAGCAATTGGCAAACACCTGTTTTAACTACAGATTAGCTGAACTTCTTATATGAGTTACTTCTCAGTGCAACATTGTTAAAAACGTTGTTAAAGGGTTAATAGAGGAGCCATGTTGTGATGACTTCCTGAAGGTGGAGTTTCAGAACGAGCAGGAGTTTTCAAAGAGACAGAGACAGCATTTCAAGGTGTAGCATTTTTTTCCAAGTTAAAGGTAACATAGTTACTTTATTATGCTATAAAATGGGATATATGCCTAGAAAACACATAACACTATATCTTTAAGAGTTGCCGCTTAAAGGCTTCCTTCAAATTCAAAAATCCTTTATTGATCCCAAAGGAAATTAAATGTTGTAACTCATATTATTTCTAATTCTTCAAAGAGATTTAGTACATGGTAATGGCTATTGGCAGAAAAGATTGCTTGTAGCAGTCTGTGTTAGTGAATTTGAAGAAGCTTCTGACAGACAATGCTCTGCTTTTGTAAGACAGTCTCATAAAGAGGATGGTCAGGGTTGTCCATAATTTTCTTGATTTTATGTAGAATCCTTCTTTGCATCATCACCACCAGAGGTTAAAACAGTCATCCCCAGAACAGAACCAGAACAGAACCAGCCTTCTTTATCAGGTTGTTGAGCCTTTTTAACTCCCTGGCTCTGAGGCTGCTGTCCCAACAGATGTCGGCAGAAGAGATGACACTCTCAGCAACAGACCACAAACCTCGCAGCATGATCCTTCATCCTGCTGCAGACTTTGAAGGATCTTGCCTTTCTCAAGAAGGACAGTCTTTGAAATCACCAAAGCAATTTGGAAGAATATTTGAACTGTTCATCCCCAACCCCAGGTAACTTCCTGTCTTCTCTAATTTGTTTCCTTTTTGTCTAACAGTCCAGCTGCTCTGAGTCCTGCCTGCAGAAGTACCTAAAGATGACTCAGCGGATCTCCATGCGCTTCCAGGAGTACCACATTCAGCAGAACGAAGCTCTGGCTGCTAAGGCAGGACTACTGGGACAGCCTCGCTGAGCTGCTCTCAGACTGAAGGGAAGCATGGTCAAACTGATCCTGGTCCAGCAGAACCTCTGTCATCACAAAAAAACTGAAGACACTTCTGATAATGGTGATGATGTTGAGAGTGAAACCGAGGCAAAGCTCCCTGTGGAGCCTGAACCATCAGTTCCTGAGCAGGACACAGAGTAAAACCCCAGAACATGATGTGACAACTGGCTTTAAGATTCTGCATCTTGTTTACTGAAACAGAGCTTTTACTCTTTAATGTGGGGTTTATAGCTCGTGACTGGATGTTTTGATGTTTGTCTGAAAATAATAAAGTCCAAGATTTTACAGGTTTGGTCTGTTTATAAAATGTTTAACTTATAGATTTTAACCGGCTTCTACTAGACTGTATTTGATTTCATTATTTTCTGGGTCTATGTTACTCAATTCCTATTTATTTTCTCGTAGAATCTCATATTCTCCATATTTCTGAAGTAAGGATTCTAAAACATGGCTGAGGAGCGTGCAATGACACAAGGAATACTTGCATTTCTTTACCATTGCTTCCTGTTCCCACCACTCTGGAGGAGCTGCTGCATCCCAGTCACTAAGTTCATGTACCCAGTGTGTGTGGGCATCAAGTGAAGCCACAGGCTGTTCAACTGGCCAAAAATGGTAAAGATATGCTGCTAGAGGTCCAGCGTGAAGTTTCCCCAGTCAGCATGTAATCTAATATTTTGAGAAACTGAGTTTGGGTTTTAATTAGCAGTAAGCTATAATCAACAAATGTAAAAACAAGTGCTTTGAATTATATACTGTGTATAAAAATGTGTAATATATGAATATCAAATTATTTAAATATGTTCACTTTTTTTTTCTTTTTTTTTTTACATCAGATTGGTGCCAAATAACCATCTATGAAAGGATCTTACAAGATCAACTGGAGGAGCTTACAAGTTTTTTTTTGTTTTTTTTTCACTTTTTTTCTTTCAAATGTTTCTCACCTGCAATAAGTTCGGGCTGAAATTGTGTGAAGAGAACACCCGCTGTCCAAATAACAATGTTTGAATGTGAAGAACTTGTTTATTGCCGTTTTAAAATGTCCTGGCCGCCAAACGCGCTTTTTAAAATAACACGTCATTCCTAAGTGTCTTCAGCTCCTTAGTGAAAATGACACCAGGACCTTTGTTCAGGACCAGGATCAACATTCACATGGAGTCAACGTGCCCCCCTTGGCTGATACTGTTACGATGTCATATGACGTCAAAGTTCCGCTCTGAGCGCCACGGCGCCTGCCTCGCCACCAATCACAGGGCTCAGATACCGACGGTTAACCACCGTTCTTCGCGGTGATTCTATCGTGCTGACTCCTGGTACCATTCATAGGCAACATCCAGACTAAAACCCGATGGGCTTGTTAAAGAGGTGTATACCCTTAATGCTAGTAGCCACTGCTCAGCGGGTCACTGACGCGACGTCAGGATCAGACGGTCTTTAAAGGTCGTCTGAAGAAATTCCTAAATATGTTTGGAGAGTGACGCTATCGACTCGTGTGTGTGTTTAATGAAGTGAACTACCCAAGTTCAGACATAAGCCTTGTATAAAAACCAACTAATACCGATTATCTTTGTATGAAGTATAGTGCGCAGATCTCTAGCACGTAGATGGGATGGGCTTCATACGATGTTGGTACAAACAAGGAAGACCGCGCCGCCAATAATAACTCGCAAGTGCTGGAATGAAAAGTATTTGACCAATTAGCGCTCTTCTATTCTGTATTATTTAGCGTTTTCATTTAACCCCTTCTGTGATTGGACAGTCCTTCAGCAGTTGTCGTCATTTCCCTTGTGGCGCCGCGTTCGTATCCACCAATAGGGGTCGCACATGCGGTACGTCCTATGGAAATGGGAGAAATGTTCCACCAATTAGATCTCTCAATTGTGACTACTGCTGTCACTGCAGCCAATCATATCTCGGGAAACAGAGCTCGGGGCTCAACAGCTTGTTGTTCGTGTATCGCTTTTGCAGCCCGAGCTAGAGAGGAAGCAACGGCGTATGATAATGTAAGTAATAAACCTTTATGGTGTAAACCTGAATAACAGTTTACTTCGAACGCTAAATTAATTCATTGAAGGTCTTCAGAGGAGCGAGTTTATGTCAGTAGAGAGGTCGGCTGCCTGTTACAGAACGGGGCTGGCTGTGAAGTGAATGGCAGTGAAGCAATGTGAAGCTCCTGTGCCTTTGTGGAAGAGCCGCTTATTAAATAAATAACTTACCAGCAGTTTTCGTTCTGGCCGTTGTCATAGCTTATCTGTTCACCGGTGTAAAACTTGGTGTGCGTTTAGAAACCAAACTGAGTCCCGTGTGCTCTCGTGTCGGGGTTGCCCTTCTTCGGAGCCAGTTTAAATCGCCGTGATGACAAACTGGCTAGTTGAATCGCCTGATAGCCAGCTAGCTAAAATGTCGCTCAGCGCAGGCGGACGGGAGGGGGGGCGAAGCCCGCTCGGCTCTCCTGCTGCTGGGACTTTGTTTGGGTTGGGACTCGGCTCTTTAGCGGGACTTTTCCACCCGGCAACAGTTCACTAGACGGCTTTGATAGAGACGGACATGGTAAAGATAGCCGAGCTAACTGACATGGCGAGCTGTGATGGCGACGTGACTCAGAGGCGCTGGGAGCGAAGCGGGAAGTGAAAAGCCTTCTCAATGGCCGCGCTGCAGTCACCCTGCGCCCTCACAGAGCCGTCCACGGAGCCTAGCAGCCCACTCGGATCGTCTCTACACGATGGGTTGAAGTAAACGTTTCTGGATAAGTTTTGGGAAGTGATCCGGGTGAAGTGGGGGCGGGGGCAGTTTTGAGAAAGCAAAGAATGCCAGAGCTAACACAAGTGCGTGGCTAGTTGGTTAGCTAAAAAATGTTCTTTCGGGACAGAGTATTTTCTGTGGCAGCGCCAGCTTTAATCATCTCTTTGTTCTGTCTTCCAGTGACCCGAAATCCTTCGAGCTGGAACCCCTGGACTAGCCGGAGAGATGAAGGTGAGTTCTCGCCCTGCGCCATGAACTCTTGTCAGTCTTAGCTCCATGTTCCCATTCCGATGAGAGATCCTGCTGGAACCAGCTACTGGCCTGCACACCGGTGTTTATCCAGCTCATACACTCCAGTTCTCAATCAGATTTTTATGATCGACAGTCACAGTGAAGGTCGCGTCTGTATTCAGCACTACATCCTTCAGATTTTCTTACCAACATTCAGTGGTGAAAGTTATGACTTATTGAGTCTCCTCTTTATTGCTGAATAAACCCAAACAGAAAGATAGCTATGGATAAAAGTCTTTCATTCTGATAGAAATTCAGTTGTTAGTGTAAGAATTGTTGAATGACTCTTTCCTCTGAGTCAGGTTTAACCAATTACAGACATAATAAACTGACATCAGATATAAACCGGGGTTTATATTGTTTACATCATGCTGGGGAGCATATTAAGTAAAATGAAGACCAAATACACACCTTAAAACAAGTTCATTCTCCTACCTTAAAACAAGATCATTCAAGGAAGAAGTTACTACATTTGTAACTTCAGATTGCATGATTTGTAATCTGAACCTCTTTTTAACAAGACATTTATCCACTTGTGCTGTTGCATGATTTGCAGTCGGACTTGGTCACATCTGCCTTACATCCCCACACCCAACTGACATGGTTTCATGCATCTGAAACTTTCATTATGTCCATAATACAGATAATAGCTGAAGCTTCTTCATCCAAAAAACAACAACTTTACCTGAACTGAACACCAACTCTGCTCTAGCTGCTTCTTCCAGATGTTGTGAGAGAAAATAAGTCACATAGGTTTAAAAAAAACAAAGAATCAATCAAAAGTATTTAAAAGGTACCCTTTTCAAGCAGACCTGACATATCTGGGGTCAAATGAGTGCATTCTAACTCGGTATCTTGTGTCAAAATGTGACGGAATTGTCCAGTGACGATGCATTTATTAGCAAGTAGAGTAATTCAGCTCTTCATACGACAAGTAGGATCCATAAAATATAATTATGCTACAATGGTCAGACGGAACCCTTTTTCAGACTTTGTTAAAGTTCCTCTTAGCACTACAGAGAAACTAGTCCTGATAAAAGTTTTGCTGTCACTTTTTCCATCAGCCCCTCCCCCAGCGAGCTGCACTGCTTCAGTTTTCTTACCTTATTATTTTTTTTCTCATCATGGCTTGTTAGTGGAGAGATGTGTAATAATAGGTCATACATATTTTATTGATCTAACAAGTCTGTGTTTCCTCTAACAAATATGTTCCTGATATTTTTTAAAGATTTTCACAGGTTACAAAATATGTCACCAGCGCAGGATGAATGTGTGCAATATTCATATCACAAAAAACTGTTTGGAGTCCAGTAAGTGATATGAACTTGCATTTTACTGTTAATGTAATATTTAGGCAGCAGTTTTACACTAGATCAGGGGTGTCCAAAGTCGGCCGGCATCCTGCATGTTTTAGTTCTCTCCCTGGTTTAGCCACCTGGATCAAATGATGGCTCGTTAGAAGGCCTAAGAGGAATATTGACAAGCTGAAAAGGTTGTTACTACCACCAGAGGGTGGTAGTAACATCCACTCCCTGGTGGTAGTAACAACCATGGAGTTGTTACTACCAACAACTGGTTCAGTTAAAGACTAAAGGCCACAGAATGATGGAAGCACAGAGGAGAGAGGGGAAAATAGTAATTTATCAGACCCGTGATATTACTGTCGCAAGCTTTTCTAATATCACGCAGCTCTGATTTTGTCCTTCCATGTATGCGTCATGTGGCCTGGTCTTTACACTGTCAGATGGGGAAAGCTGAGCAGAGAGCAGCCGAAAGACTTTTCAATAAAGTAGATGATATTCAAAGCACAGCATTACATTTATAGAAAAGAAAACATTTTTGTATGTTTTGTCTGCACACAGTAAACCGTACATTTAAAGGTACTTTAAATGTTAAAAGCTGAATTTTCAGCTAGTTATATCCAGTTGGAGGGAACACATGCTAACGTTAGCTTAGGACTTCAGTAACGCACTAAGCACAAACACTTTCTCAGCAGGAGCAAGACTGGAGTTTATTAAAGTATCAGACTGACGACTCAGGAAAATTAAGCATAGACAGTAGTAAAAAAGGTATTTATTAGTAACAAAATATACTAATATCAACTATATGTTCTATTGAATCTCTGCATCTGACTTCAGTATCATAACTATATTATAATTACACCATGTTCCGGCCCCACTGTGACGTTTAGCATGTTATTTAACGTACACATCAGTTACGTTAAATAACATACTGTTTACATTGATATTGCAGTGAGGATGGTGATCTATTGTTGGCATCATAGCCAGTTAGAGTCCGTCAACTGACCAAACATACCCAATACTGCATCTAAGCAGTCCTTTCCTTTGCAATTGTGAATTTGCACACTTTGATATTGCAATGTCAATTGCGATTTGGTACATTGTGCAGCTCTGCTTTTAGCCAGCAGAGCAATAGAACCAGAACCACAGAGCACATTTAAACCACAGTGAAAATAGGTTGGCACCAGCTGCTGTGAAAACTGGTGTAAACACACACACACTTCACATCTCTAAAAATGCTAAGCTGTTCGCAAGGTTAGAAAGAGATTTTTGACTTAATTGTTTTTCACTTTGTAAAACGAACTGATAGAAAATAAGTCGAGCTCTATCTTGGAATAGATTAATCTTACCTTGTAATAACAAGTATATTTGTAGTTGTGCAAAAAAAAATTCTCACCCTCTTTAAAAACGAAACAAAAATAAAAACAATGTCCTCACTGCTTTTAGTGAGCTTGAGCCACTTGGTAATGAAAAGTTTGTTTGAACTATGGCTATCAACGCAGTGAAAGTCCTTGCAATAGTTAAGCCTCTCATAATAAGTAATTAAGCAATTGATTACGTAATAAATTAAAACAAACTCAATATTTTCTATTTTCATGATTTATCATTTTTCTCTCCTTCTACTAAAAACTATACCATAAAAGTCTTCAGTCTGGTGCTTTGCTCTCAACTGGCTCTTTTTCTGAAGGACAGTTTTATATACAGAAACTCCATGATTTATTTTATTTGTTGTTTTTATTTACCTTGGATATTTAAAATATCTCCCAGTTCCACTGTTAAATGTTCATTAGAATTTAAAGTTTATTGATCTTTGAGAATGTGTTTTTGTATTTTTATGCCATTACCATAATATTTATTATTGTTTGTTGTAGTAATTTCTGGGACAATTTATGATCTAGAAAAATTTGTTATTGCAGGCCTAGCAACAGACCAGATTTTTATGGTATGCAGAATTTGCATACATGGTGCTTGAAAATTTAATCTTACCAAATTTTGCATCCACACCGTCTATTGCAGTTGTGATGCTGTTTACATTGATATTGCAGTGAGGATGGTGATCTATTGTGCAGCTTAGTTTATGTAAAAATAGTCGTTTCAAAAAACAACAATTAAATTAATCGCGGATGGGTGGGGGTTAAAAGCAGCAACATGACTTTTTATATTAAAAGGTTGTTAATACAGCAGCATCACTATTGATAGAATATATCTGTAAAAATACTGAGTCATCACAAGAACTGCCGCACTACATGCTATACATTAGCATGTACGCTAATTAGCCCGTGTGTTTCAGGCAGCAGACGAGCCTGCCTACCTGACAGTGGGGACAGATGTCAGTGCCAAGTACAGAGGAGCCTTCTGCGAAGCCAAAATCAAGACTGTTAAACGCATGGTCAAGGTCAAGGTAAGAGCTGGAGCTGCAGGAGCACACCTCACCACACCACCACCTGGCATCCACCTCCTCAGGAGCCAGCAGAGCTTCTGGAGCGCCATGCTCTGCTCTGAGTGCTGTGTGAACCATCACAGGACTCTGAACTTCACACCAAACCTCCCTCATGTCTGGACTCACAACTTTATTCCTTTCCGTTTCTTTTCCCTCAAGATGCTTTGCAGTGAAACGCTTCCATATTTATGAAATGTGTAGAAAAGTAAACCTCTTCCTTTATCATTCAAGGATTTCTTAGTTTCGTCTAAAGACGTCGGAGAGAGCAGCCGTATGAAATCAGTTTCTTTCCATTTGATTTTTATTTTCTAATTATTCTTTCACTGGATAGAATAGAAATAACCTCTATTGTCCCTCAGTGGGAAAATTCAGGTCTAGCAAAGTGACAGCAGGCAAGTTTAAGCATGTAGATTTACATAGAAAGATTAAAATAGAGCTAAAACTAACATGCTATCCAGTAAGGGCAGATTGAAAACTTAAGAAAATACTGTGCAGGTATTAACAAAAACTTACTTGGATTTAAAGAAATGTGCTGCACAGTTGTTGAAATAATTCTGCTTTCAAATCAAATAAATTTTTTTAATATTTAGTTGTACTTGTGAGTAATCAGTACATTTTTGGTAGTTTATGTGCAAAACTTTTTAACAAAGTTCTTACTCTGGAAAGTGATTTCATAATTTTCCAAGTCTGCATATGTATGGAAACATTACAATCTAGAATAGAAAACAGTTTCCCAACTTTATATCTTATGTCCTTTAGTAAAAATATAAACATCAAAATGTATTGAAATACAAAGTCATTAAGCTTCGTCTTTGGTTCGGCGCCACAAACCGTGATTTTTTTTTTTTTTGTTGCCACTAGTTGATCATTTGGGTCTCTGAATTTCTAACGGATGAAACCCAAGATCAGATCAGATCTAACAGATCAGACCCAAGGTTCTTCACCAAGCATTGGTAAAATAATATCTTTATTTTTATTCAGCCTAATTGGAAGTCAGCTTTGGTTAATAAAACCCAAACTGGTAAATGTTTT